CTCCCGTTTGTTCCCTCATCCATCATCTCCACTGCCATCGACAGTTACTCCTCCCTCCGTTACCTCCAAAATTCCTGCTACAAGCCATTATTGCCCAGCGCCTCCTGCATACATTACCCGCAGTGGACGCCACGTTCACTTTCCTGACCGGCTTGTATCTCACCATTTTTAGACGTTTATATTTTTCCTTCGGCATTGTTTCTTTACGCCGCCTTCGGTCTAGGCTGGGGGGGGTACTGTGGTGGTCCTCGACTTTTTGACCTTTAACATTCTCTCCTCCTTTTTCCTTGATGATTCCTGGACTTCGAATGTACGGACAACACCGGTAGATTTTTATCCTCGTGTACCCCAACATTTAGGTTGTAACTGTTTCCGTAATATTTTACATACCATTTAGAGTTTGGTCTTTTCTCTTACGTTAACCGTATATATAGTGTTGCGCTATAGTCTGCAGAGTCAGACAAGTACTCTAACAACATTGTAACGAGGGCTTCAGATTGCTCTGTACCCAAATACCGAGGTCTTTCTGTGAAGATTCGACCGGAATTGGACTGTTTTTCAGGTGGTATGTCTTCGTGCTGTGGGGACTGGGGTTGTTCGTTGGACGCAGATGGAGGACGGCACACTTTTGTACATTGAAATCCAGGAGCCATCCTTCAGACCACGTCTGCAGTTTGTAAAGATTATTTTGCAGATCTTCTAGATCGCTCGGGCGCTTAATGACCTGCCAGAGCTTAACGTCATCGGCGAACATGATTTTACCGCAGTCCAGTTCTTGAAGGCTCTCATTAACATAGAGAATGAAGAGTAGAGGACCGAGAACGGAGCCTTGAGGTCCCCACTAGCTGCTCCTCAGACTGTCTAAAACGGAGCGGACATTCCAGGCTGTTAGTCTGAGAAGGTTCGCCATAGCATCCTCAAATGTGCTGCGAGATAGAAGGAGACGGGGACGGGAAATAATGTTTTTTTTTCTGCATGTGTTGTGACCACAGGTATAGCAGTCTGCGGGCCACGGCTTGCTGACAGAACTTATTAACCCAGCATTTGATTAGATCACCTTTTCTAGCCATCTCCTTTTTAGTCGTCGCAGGTGGCTGCCAAACTCCATTATGGGTCACCAGGTCTAGTGAAAGAAGAAGCCTATGGCCTGGGCCGCCAATATGATTTCGTGTCGCACTCGGTGTGGGGTATTGTGACCGTGGGAACCGTGGAGCGCACACACACCAAAAACCCTCACATGGCTTCGTCCGCCTGTGGGGGTGGTTAGCGGGAGCGACCACTGGGCAGAGCATAGCTCCAAGGAGTCACAGGTGAGAACCGGGTGTGTGCTAAGAATGTTAGGTGAAGCCATCAATTGTACTTACGATCTACCAAGAACTTCACGTTGAACACATAACTGGATACCCCATACTAGCCTATGCAAATTAGCATCCTTACAATGTACTATATTGACATCTCTTTTCATACTTGCACGATTGCCTTTATAGTTTTTTTTCTAAAATGTTTTATTTAAAAGATTACAGGAAAAGCCCCCGACGACCCTAATTATGCAAAATAATTTCGCACATTTACATGCAAGGAAACAGCTTCGACGAACGCACTAATCATAGACTCAATAGTCTATTCCAAGTGTCCCTATTTTCCATGGAAGACTGCGTCATTAAAAAGAGACAAAACATATATGTAGTTTGGAAATAGAGTTTGTGTCGTCAA